CCCCCGCCCCCGGCCGCCGCCGCCGGGGGGTGCGGGGGGTGCGGGGGGCGCGGAGCGGAGCGCGGCCCCGCGGGGGGAAACTCTTTTGTTTGAAGGCGGCTGGGCGCTGCGGGAGCGGCCCGGCCCGCGGGCTGCTGGGGGATGTAGTCCGGTGGCGGCACACCCCCGCCCGCGGCGGCGGGCACCGGGGCGGCGGGGCCGGAGGGGGCGGGGGNNNNCGGGGGGGGGGGGCGCGGGGGGGGCGGGGCGGGGGGGGGGGGGGGGCTAGGCGGTCTGGGGAGGGGGACCCGCTGTGACACTGTGGGAGGGGGATGCGGGGACCCGCGGTGACACGAGTGGATGTGGGATGTGGGATGTGGGGGACAGGCTGGGACGCGGTGAGGGGGCTGCGGGGGACCCGCGGGGACACGAGTGGAGAGGCTGCACGGGGACCCGCGGGGACACGGGTGGAGGGTGGTTGGGGACCGCCTGGCACACGCAGGGGGGGCTGCTGTGGGGAGACACATCGCGCGGGGGATGGAGGGGCTGCGGGGGCACGCACTGTGCCACCGGGGTAGGGGCTGCAGGGGCACCACGCGGTGGCACCAGGGGAGGGGGATGCAGAGGATCCACCATGTGGAGGGGCTGCAGAGGGGCATGCCATGACGTGGGTGGGGGGTTTGGGGGGTACACAGGTTAGGGAGGTGCGAGGGGACCAGCCCTGCAGTGAACCAGGGGAGGGGGCTGCAGGGGAAGCCACTGTGACCCGGCTGGAGCGTGATGCAAGGGGATCAGGCATGGGTGGGAGGGTCTGTGGTGGGACCACTGGGCTGCAGTGGGATTCCCTGCCCTGTGTCACACGTGGAGGGGGCTCCTTGGGGTGGAGGGGGCTCCTCGGGGTGGAGGGAGCTGCGTGGGCACCCACGGAGACACAGGTGTAGGGGCTGTGTGGGCACCCACTCTGGGTTCCATCAGTGTGCACACCCCTGGCAGAGAGGGATTGCAGGAAAGAAGGGTCTGTGAGGGAACCCATTGGTTGCACCCAGCGTGGAGGGGTCATGAGTGGAAGGGGTCTGTGTGGGGACCCACCACGTGCCCCCCACTGTGGAGGGGTCATGGGCAAAGGAGGGTTTGTGTGGGGACCTGTTGCTCACTCATGGAGGGTGCTGCAGAGCTGTCCAGGGCTGGGGTCCTTCCAGAGACCCACAGGGGGTCCCTGGGAGGGGTGGTGGCTCTGCAAGGACACCTTGGGTACAGGCTAGCAGGGCACCAGGATCAACGGGGTGGCACAATGGGGCAGGAACCCCCCTCCCATGGACAAGGAGCTCCTTGTGAAGGAGGACATGGCCTTCCAAAAGGGTTCCCCACAAACATGGGGACCTCAGTCTTGCCGTGGGAAGACCCCCAACACCGCCAGGGACAACACTGCATGTCCACCCTGCCTGGGAATTATGGGAAACAAGAAGGGGGAGCCCCCCCAGCCCCCCAAGGCCTTGTAGTGGCTCCAGGCACAGCCAGGCTTGGTGAGGCTGCTGGGGCTCAGCTCCCCACCCTTGGCTCTGTGCCTCAGCAAAGCCCCCTCCTGCAGACTGGGAATGCTGGGGAGGGGGCCGTGGGACAGCCCTGCTCCCCGGGCTGGCCTTTCTCATTGAAATGAGGAGGATTCAGGCGGAGGGAAGCATTGACAATTGCTCCCCAGCTCCCAGCCAGCCGGGGCTGGGCGGTGAGTGTGTGAGCGCGCCGTTCTCCCCTCGCCCCTTTCTTCTCTTTGAATCAAACCAGATGTCTCCCATGAAATGAGATTGCCGGAGCTCACACTGGAGAGGGACAATGCAGAGGGATGCGAGCTCCCACCGAGCCACATCGCGCTGCAGCTCTGGCAATGGCCACGGCTGCGGCGAGGGCTGGGGGGGTGGTGGCACCGGTGCCTTGTCACCGGGGCTGGACCTTCCCACCCCCCCTCGCTGTATCCCGTGTGATTTGCTCTCTCTGGCTCTGGCATCCTTGCGGGAAGGTTTTTTGTTTTTTTTCTTTCCCCCCCCCCTACCTCCCCTTTCTGGGTTTACCAGCAGAAGATCTCAGCTGCGCCTAAACTCGGCAGATGGGGCACCCAGCACAAGGAGATGGCTCATCCACTGACTCAGCCGGTAAGGTGCTGCTGGAGCTCTCCCTGGGAGTTTGCCCAGGCACTTTGGGAAGGGGAATTTCTGCTTTCAGTTTGGTTTTTGGCATCCAGGTTTCCTGATGGGTGGTACAAACTCAGGGAGATGCTGGGACACAGCCGGAGGGGCAGCTCCCCTCTGCACGGGACCCAGCGTGGAGCTGCTGTGGGTTAGAGCTTGTGGTGTGCACAAAAAAAAAAGAGGGAAAAAAGTAAAGCTATGGGCAGGAGAACCCACCCACTGCTGTGTTTCATGCACCTCATTTTGGTCGTGCTGTAGAGCACTGTCCTGAATTGGGCTTTATTTCTTTTTTCACCCTTGTGTGGTGATGGGAGTGCTGAGAGCGGCAGTTTGGGATGTTTTCCTCCGTGGCAGTTTGGGATATTCCTTCTTCTAAGAGGAATGTCTGTTTGTTTTGGGATGTGACGGATGGTGGCTCCACAGGGCACACACACATCCCATGGCAAGTTTTAACACGGGCACTTGGCTGGGTGTGCCCCATTAAATGGCCAAAAATGTGCATTTAATGCACGTGGACATTCACACACACACACACTGCTGGTTCCCTTGCACACACCTGCTGGCTGTGGCCTTACTCCATGCTTACAACCAGGTGAAACCCTTGTGTGTGTCTGTGTGGGCATGTGTTACAGTGCAAACACAGAATTTTGCCCAAAAACCACACGTATTTGTGTGCACACACATCTCCATGCAGGGGTGTTCCCAGTGTGGGTGAGGACTGTGTGTGTCCGTGTGGTGGTGGTGGGAACTATGATGTTCTGCCCTGTAAATTATGGACTTTTCACTTGTCCAGGTTGGATCTTACATGTCATGCTCATAGCAATGCCTACTCTGGAGGCAGCACGTCATTTTAGGGACATGGTTTTGCTTCCACCTCCATTTTAAGTTCTGTCACGGAGGTCTCGGGAGAAGAAAGTGCTCCTGGAAATCAGAAAGTGAAAGGAAAAAAGGGAAAAACTATGGAGCTCCAGCTCTGAGCATTCCAGCAGCATGAGCCAGGCCCAGAAATCACCAAACTGATTAAAAAGTTTGTGTGACTCCAAAAAAAACCCTGAAAATTGAGTTTCTTCTCATTTGCCTTCTCCTGGGGCTGTCGGATTTCACTCTGGTTACATCACCTTGCTTTTCTGCACAGCCACAAGGTCTAGAAACTTACTTTAAAAACCAAAAATTCATACTCACACAGATTCACATGACTCACAGAGCTGGGAATTTAAGGCAACCAGAAACGCTCCTAGAAAAATCACAGGAATTGGCAACATGGGCAGTGACTAATCCTGATGGGTCCCTGATAGCAGCATCTCTCGGTTCGTACAATATTTTGGGGGCGTAGCTGGGCTACAACCAAGACTTTGATCCTCTTCCCAGTGATAGCAGCTGCTTGGGAATGATCTTACCTCCCGTCTGGCATCGCTGCCTCTGGGGAAGCTGGATTTCAGGAGTAATTCAGGTTAAAGTTAGCTCTGCCAGGTGGCTTGAGCCAGCTCCGTGAGCTGGAGTAGGTCAGAGGGGCTCACGTTGTGGAGCTGTTGGATCATTCCCAGCTCCCTGGATAGTGGGGTAAAAGGTTATTTTTGGGGGGCAGGTAGTGCTGTGAGGATTTCACCATGGGTGTAGTCTCAGCACAGCTCTATCCACTCAGCGAGGTTTTGGCAGAAACGCGGTGTTTCTAGTCAAAAAGCGGGTATTTCCAAAGGTTTGAAAATCCACATCCCCGAATTACTGTCAGGGAGGGGAAAAAAAAGTATTAATTAAAGCCAGGGATGGCAGCGGAGTCCTGGGAGCGGAGAGGTCGGGATCAGGCAGCGGCATCACGTGCCCCGTGCCGAGGCAGGAGGCTGCAGAACGATCAAAGAAAAGGGAGAAACTGCAAACTGCAGCTGCTGCCAGTGCCAGAGCCATCAGGGAGGGGTGGCCAGGCACCACGGCTGGTGACAGAAACTTCTGTGGGAGGCAGCAGTGAAGCTGGCATTGACTGAGGAGGTGCCAGCAGCCTGTCCTCAGGCAGAGCAGCGACTTAAGAGTCACCATCAAGAGCTAACGCGGGGAGAAACTTTCTGGATGGATTTGTGTCATCGATGTGAAGCCGAGTTTGGCACTTCCCAGTGCTGCATCCCTCTGCCCACCAACATGACCCAAGTCTGGGGGAAAGGTGGCAGCTGCTAGGAAAGGGTTAATGCTGTGGAAGCATCCCAGTCCCACAGGCTGAGGTGATGAGCTGGTCGTGGGGAGGACAAGGGGAGCAAACACCTGCTAGGAACCAGGACATCTTTTTTAGGCTTTTCTTCATTTTTATCTTACATAGAATCATAGAATATCCTGAGGTAGAAAGCTCAAGCTGGGATAACATTGCAACGAGTGCTTTGAGACATCATCTCCTTGTCTCTGGACAGCTCATTTCAGCAACTGCTCAGCTGCACATGAAACAGAAGTACCCCAAATGCTGGGAAGCTGTAAGGGCTCCCTTCCACTCTGAGCCCACGTGCTGGCCATTCCCTGTAGGACACGGTTCAGGGGGGACTCCGTGGTGGCCGATCCACCCAGGATGTCCCTCCATCCCTGCCTGTGTCCATGCAATTCATCTGCTGCCTGTTGACATTAAACCTCTTTTCTTTGTCAATGGGACTGGCAGCAAGAGGAGTCTCACTGTCCGTGGAAGGATCCTGAAGTGCTTTGCAAACATTTGTTAATTAAGCTGTTCTATGAGATAAGTAAATTAGCGCAAAGCCTGATCCAAAGCTCCTTGAAG